GCTGGGTCACGTGAGATGCTTTGGCCACTGGGATGTTACTGGATACGATGTGATAAGATGCCTTGAATGTGTTGGTACAGTTTGGCTTGGCTCTTCTGCTCTGGAGATCTGCCATTGGAAGAGCACGCCCCAGGGAGCTTCCCCACCAGCCCGAGTCCTGAAACAGGGAGGCATAGGGAGCGGACTTGAACCTGACCTGAAGTCTAAAGAGGAGCTTCAGGTAAGCCCAACCCAGACCTACAGACGGAGGAGCATGGGAATAAAAGATAGCTGTTGTAAGCCATGGAGTTTTGGGGGAGGTTTGTTACACAGCATGATTGTGGCGATAGCTGACTGATCCACTGGCCAGGGTCACATCTCAAGATCCCCTCTGTACCACAGACAACAACAGAATTCAGACCTGTTTTGGCGGCAGTGTGATGCAGTAATTCTCAAATTCTTTATTGGCATAAATAATTCAGACATTAGATTCTCACTAAACATTGCACTGAACACAAGAAACAGCAGGCTTGTTGGCACAGAGACTTCACTACCTGTCCAACAGCCCAAGTTAGAAATACTTTTTTTTTTTGAGAAGTGTAGAAAACTTTATAAATGATTCTGTACAAATATACACAGTGGACCCTCCATCTATCTCGCCATCCCTTCTTGGATGGCATCTGGAAACGATGGTGCTTTCCCAGCAACGAGACGTTGGCAATGAGTGAGAGACACAGAGATGGGGACGGACCTAGATAAAGAGGGGAGGGAAACAAGTGGCCCCAAAAGAAAACCATGAAACCAACTTCTTACATCAACTCGTTCTGCGACAGTCAACACAATCGTGGAGAAAACAATATGGGCCATTGGTCCATGTTGGTCTGTACAAGAAATAGTCTTTATATATATATATGTATATATATATATAATATATATGTATAGTATTTATAGGTATATATACTTTGTGTATAGAAAAGGTAACAGCATAATTTACATAGAGAGAAAGCCTTTATACAACGACAAGTTTTCTTAAGCTCATAACTTTGAGAGAAATCAACCGACAGAACCATGCGGTACGTGTGTGGAGTGAACCCCAGTGCAAGACCAAAGCTCAGGGAGAGAGAAAACGAGAGGCTTGGGGTGGGACTTGACTGTCCACGTTTGGGATATTCTCAGCCTGGCCCAGCCATGGGCAAGGGCGCTCACCCGGTGTGACCAGGTCATCTGGCCCCAGGGAGTCCCCTGGGCCTCCATCTTGGGGCCTTGGAGGGGACTGGTCTGGCCAGAGACTTCCCAGCTCCCTGAGATTGAGGCTGTCCTATGGATGCTGACCCCTCCATTAGCTGAGGGGTGTCTGCGAGACTTGGGCATCCCTCCCCATGTCCACCAGGGCACAAGTATCTAAGAAAATGGATAACACCCCCTGCCTCTCTATTGCAGTCTCCTATTTTTTTTTTTCAGGAAGGTACCCCTAGAGGTGGAATTCCTGGGGACATTTTACTTGATCTAGTGGAAGAGAAACCACACTGACTGAGGACCTACTGTGTGCCAGTTATTGTAGGAGGCTAGTGACATTCATTATTTCGTTTACTCCCTCCAATAGCCTGGATGGTTAGGGATATACCAAGTGCTATGAGCAGCACAAAACCAAGAAGACTCAAGGTCTGCTTTGGGGGAACTGCTGGCACTGAGAAACTGATTGTGAGGTCATTATCCATGATAGAGAGTGGCTCAAGAAATGCATGCCGAGTGGAGCGGAAGCAGGTCAACAGGCCCTGCTAGTGCACAGCAAACACAAACACACACACACACGCCCTGGGGGTTCTATGGTCAGCAAAGATATCGTCTCCTATCTTTTAAGCCCTGACATAGATTTATAGGGACAGTGGGACACACCATCCCACCAAGATGGCTGATACATTCTCTCCCACACTTTAATCTCCCACATGGGCTTGGTCTGTGGTCCACTAGGATCCCTACGTCTTCTTCAGCCACTCTGTAACAAACCAGTATTTTGCCCATCACACCGGTAACATGTAGTTGAAGACCCTTAAGAGTAAGGTCTTTCCATCAATAACTTTCCACGTTCATGCATGTCTTTGACCTCCAGGAAAGAGGCCATGGCAGATAGCTCAGGGAGGCTTTCTGCTGTGGCAAGACAGATCTGTGGGCCTCAGAAAGATCAGACACGGGTCTCAGAGGAGGTAGAAGGAAAGTGAAGCAGAATCAAAGACAAGGAAGAAATGCTTCCGAGAGAAGGGCTGATGGCCAATCCATCTATAGCAGTGATGCCCACTGACTGAAGACCTCGATGGATGGGGACTAAGGAACAGAGATGTTGTGAGGAGGCAGGCAGTGACAGAGAGGGAGGCCCACAGGGCCAAAGGGAGATGACAGAGTCCGAGGCAGCCTAAGTACTGACTGGCCTGCCTCCAGCAAGCACAAAACCCTCCTGAGACATCTTCTTCCTCAGGACACCAAGGCCAATAGCACAGATCAGGGCATGGTTGGGGAGAGAAGTCACAGCCTCCATGTCTGAGCCAGGGCACCTTCAGGTCCGGAATGGAGTCTCCCAGGGCTTGGCACCAAGCCTGGGGGAAAATAAGGGAGGGCAGGTCGAGTGTCCAGGCGCAGGCTTTCAATACATTATGATCTTTCCTCTGAGCCTGCACATGGGCTGTTCCTTCCACTTGGCACACTGTTCCCTACCTCCTACTCCCATTCCACTCTAACCTCAAGACAAAGTTCAGAAGTCCGCTCCTCTAAGGAGCCTTCCTTGAGAGGCCTTGTTGGGACTGGGTGCTCCTCGGGGGCCTCAGGACCCTATCAGAACTTCTCTATGTCCTCTACTGGACTCAGGTTCTCTGTAGGGAGGGGCTGCTATTCTTCTCGTTTTTTCCAGAAGCACAGGAGGCACTTTCTAAATATTCACTGAATGAGTATATGAAATGAAGTCTTGGGGAATTAAGTAATTGGGTTGCTTGATGCCGAGGTCAACTGAGAATGGCTGGGGAGAAGAGCTGTTAAAACATGGGAACATTTTTTTAAAGAATCCTCCAGCTGGTCAATTGGAGGCATTTAAAATCCACCCATGGGCCAAAAAGTAGGGGCGATGGTGATACTGGAGGCCCCTGACGCAGAAGCAATGCCTTGTGGGATGGATATGGGAGCTCATGGGGGGCAAAGGCTCCCAACTGGATGACAGCTCGAAAGTGAGGGGGGGTGGTAGTCAGAGAAGCTGGGGTGACATTGTGCCTGAGGTCATCATTTGGGCTCCCAGACTTGGAGCTTTCTGAGGATTGATTCCCAACAGCAAGGTCCGGATGTGTATGTGGGGGGAGAGGAATAACAATTTACTGCACTTCCTGGGGGTGGGGAGCACAGGGGCCTCAGCAGAGGAAAGACTGCTGAAAAGGAGGAAGAAAAAACTGGTCCACGATTGTGCTCAGGCCTGGCCAAAGGCAGCCCACACTGACCGTGCCTCCTCCCTAACACCCCCGTCCAGCCAGGCACTGCCCAGCCGGCTGCCCAGGGTTTGCAGGGGGCTGCACAGCACTCCCTAGGAGGCTGGTTGGGAGGACACGTGGGCCAGGGTTGGGGGGACTTGGTGTATCAGAACGAGGACATTAGGTAGCCTGGTGTCTACACTGTAGCTACATAGCAGTTACTTGAACTTACATGAGTTCATATGTACCCATTTTTAATTATTATTAATATTATATTATTAGCAACACAGATAGAAAAATAAACAGAGGAAAATGGCTACATTCTCAGAGGACCAATGCATTGCATTAATTGTCCAGGACACACCCAAGCTGCCACTGCCCCAACCCGGGCAGGGCTTGGGGGGGGAGAGAGGTCGACCCACCAGGGAGCAGGGGCCCCCAGTCAACGCAGCATCCTTCTTGGAAGGTGCTTGGCTGAGTGACCCCACTTCCCGGAACACCTTTTCCAGCCCCAGTCCTTTGAGATGCCTGACTGCCCCACTCCCCAATCCTGGGCCTGCTGGAACCCTGGGGTTTGATCCTGGGAACTACAGAGCTTGTCTACACCCACTGCCGCCTCCATCCCCAAATCAGCCACGTGGGTCGGGATGGAAATGGCCACCTCTTGGCCATACCGTCCACTTTATTGCTCATCTCCACCAGAGAGAGCTGTTATCATTCTCTTCTCCACAATGAACTAGGGATTGGAGGAAGTGGGGTGGGGTGGGGGTGG